ATCGCTGGCCAGGCCAAGGAACCCCACCCGTGCACGAATTTGTGCACTGGGCCTCTAGTAATCATATAAGCCAATATGTTAGAAGTATATACAGCCTCCATCTTTTCTTTCTCCTACCCTGAGTGTCGCAGAGTGCTATGTTCTCATCATTTTCCTCTATGTATGGAGTGGCATGGTTCTCACCATTCTGATTTGGTAGGTTTGGAAGTTTAGAATGTTGTCATTAATTTTTAAGGAGCCACAGTCATTATGGAAATAGTTTAGGTTAAGTATTTAAAACATTTCTGGAAACAGGAAAGGGGGGAGATTACCTGTGGTTTCTCACCATTCTAACCACATCAGTTTTAACATTTTGGTGCTTTCCTTCAATCTTTTTTTAAGCATAAGCCCCCCCTTATAAAATTATTACTGTATTCCGCAATGCTTATTGAAGTTTCCGACTTGCCAATAATTCTGCTGAAAGGTTGCTTCAGGTTTTCCATAGAAAGACTTGCAAATCCTTAAATTCCCACAGTACTCTTATGAGGTCATTCATAACCATCTTCTTTTTCTTTTGGAAAAAAATGTTTTATTTATTTCAGAGAAGAAGGGAGAGGGAGAGAGATATAAACATCAATGATGAGGGAGTATCGTTGATCGGCTGACTCCTGCCCCCACTTGGGATCGAATCCACAACCCGGGCATGTACCCTGACCCGGAATTGAACTGTGATCTCTTGGTTCATAGGTCACACTCAACCACTGAGCACACTGGTCGGGCTTTTTTTCTTTTTTGATGTCTTTTTTACTGTGGATGAAGTTGTGTACTTGGCACTGGAGATACAGAAAGAATAGAACATAGTCCTTACTTTCTAATGGGGACAAATACTAGGGATTTAAACAGTGAAGGTACAATTAGATGGTGGAGTCAAGTACAAAATACCAGCAGACGTGCTACCAAGACTGAAGAGGGGGGCGGGCTCTAAATAGGGAAGTGAGGGAAGGATCCACAGGGCAGGTTGCATTTGTACTGAGACATGAAGAGTAAGTAGGTTTTTACTGTTCATACACGCAGACCCAATGGAAACCCTGAGACTGAAAATCTACCTCTGGAAGTGGAGAACAGGGAAAGACTGAAGAAAGAGGCTGGTCAGTCCAGTCTGGTAACTAGTAGAGTTTAGTAAGGGAAACATACATACGAGGTATGTCTTGGGCGACTGCGCTACAAAATGAGTCCCCTCGCTACTTTACTTGGCAGGTGCCAGAGAATTATATAAGGTAAAGGGGTGATAGTCATAGGTACAAGTAGGTGAATGCTACCAGGTATGGAAATTACATGTTTGGTCAGGACAACAACCTGTTCCAGGAACCAGCACGTAGCAGAAGGCAGGGGAGCGATGCTTATTATGTAGAATGAGCATGAGTTACCATCAGGCAGTCTCCTGACATGTCATGGGTTAGTAGTCTCTCCTCTACATTTGCCAAGCCAAGAGACTCCAGATGGAAAAGCTTGGAGGAGTGAGAATTTGTGGTTCACATGTCAGAAGGTGAAGTTGGGTGGAGTTCTTTTCAGCATTGGGGTTCTTGGGTTCCCCAAGCTAGAAATCAAAAGGAAATTTCCAGACAGATCATATTAAACTTATGCTTAAGGACAAGGTACACAACACAGAGGAAAGGAAGGTCCTCTGAACTGACTGGGGTTTGGTGGTGGTGTGGGGGATCTCTGCTTGGCTCCTTTTATAAGCTGGGGACAAAGCAGGCTTGTGTGAAAAGGTGGGCTTTTTGAAAAAGGTAGGCTTTGAGAATTTTCCATTTTAAGGCTTAGGTAACTTCCTTTTCCAGTTGTGTTCCTGGTAACTGTGCCCATGCCTGCCCTCCGGGGGCAAGATGGTATTCTGCTTATTACCACCACCCTAGGGAAGTCGTATAGTTGTCAAACCTTGATCAACTGTGCATGCCGGTCAGTAGTTTAAGCAGGTAGTAAGAAGGGAGATAAAATCAGCTACCTCTGCATTTTTGAGAAAGGAGTGGAGGGGTGGTGACATTTTTGGGGTCAGCTCATCCCAAGTTTTTTCTGACTAACTGATCTTGGTGTCCTGGCCACCTGGTATTCTCCATTCCCAGCCCAAGTCCCTATGCTGTCTTGGAGGGAAGATACTGAAGATGAGCTTGGAAAGGTATATGGGAATCACATCATGAAAACCATTTGTATTCCTTGCAAGGGAGTTCAGATTTTATTCTATAAATATTGGGATTGAATTGAAAAATTTTAACAGGGAATTTACTATTTTTAAAAGTAATATTTTTTTTTTAAATTGATTTTAGAGAGAGAAGAGGGGAGAGGGAGAGAGAGATAGAAACATCAATGAAAGAGAAACATCAACATCAATCGGCTGCCTCCTGCATGCCCCCTGTTGGGGATCAAGCCTACAATCTGGGCATGTGCCCTGACTGGGAATCGAACCAGTGACCTCCTGGTGCATGGGTCAATGCTCAACACTGAGCCACACCAACTGGGTGGGAATTTACTATTTTTAAATTAAGACTTTATTGTTAGAGAATACTATTAGGTTCACAGCAAAATTGAGGGGAAAGTACACAGATTTTCCATACACCCCTGCACATGGGTAGCCTCCCCCATTATCCACATTCCCGCAACATTTGTTACAGTTGATGAACTAACATGGACACATCATGATTACTCAAACACTGTAGTTTACATTAAGGTTCACTCTTGGTGTTGTATATTCTGTGGGTTTGGACACATATATAATGGCATTGACCCATCAATATGGTATCATACAGAGTATTTTCATTGGCCTACAAATTCTCTGTGTTCCACTTATTTACTCCTCCCCAACCCGTTGCCCCCTGATGATTTTTGTTGCTGTCTCCATAGTTTGTCTTTCTCAGAATATCATATAGTTGTGAATCACACCATATGTCTTTTCAGACGTGCTTCTTTCACTTAGCACAGTGATTTTCAACAGGTGTGCTGCAAGAATTTTTAAAACATGCAATATCTGACTATTCAGTCAAGGGCACTGACCTCTTTTGCCTTAGATTGTCAAATTAAAAAATGATAACAGCCCTGGCCAGTGTGGCTCGGTTGAATGTTGTCTCACACATCAGAAGGTCGCTGGTTTGATTCCCAGTCGGGGGCATGCACAGGTTGTGAGCTCTATCCCTGGTGGGCATGCAGGAGGCAGCCTATAGATGTTTCTCTCTCTCATTGATGTTTCCCTCTCTCATCGATGTTTCCCTCACCCTTACTTTCTCAAATCAATAAAAACATATTTTAAAAAATGACAATAGCCAACACAATAATAGCTGTCTGGTGTGACTGAATAAAAATTATACTTTTTTGTGTGTCAGATCTGCAAAAAAATAATATATTTTTTGGTGTGCTGCAGAATTTTAGTAATTAGTTTATGTGTTCCATGAGACAAAAATGGTTGAAAATTGCTGACTTAGCAATATGAATTTTAGATTTCTTCATGTCCTTTTTAGCACTGAATAAAATTCCATTGTCTGGATGTACCACAGTTTATTTATCCATTCTCCTACTGAAGGATATCTTGGTTACCTCCAGGTTATGGCAATTATGAATGAAGCTGCTATAAACATTTGTGTGCAGATTTTGTGTGGACGTAAGTTTTCATGTTCTTTGGGTAAATACCAAGCAGCATGATTGCTGGATTGTATGGTAAGGGTATGTATAGTTTTGTAAGGAACCGCCAAACTGTCTTCCAAAGTGGCTGTACACCCTCCTCAGCATTTGGTGTCAGTGTTCTGGATTTTGGCCATTCTGATGGGCATGTAGTGGTATCTTATTGTTGCTTTCATTTGCATTTCCCCGATATATGATGTGGTGTATACATTTGCTATCCGTATCTCTTCTTTGGTGAGATATCTGTTAAGGTCTTTGGCCTATATTTTAGTCAGGTTGTTTGTTTTGTTGTTGAGTTTAAAGAGTTGTTCAGGAGAACCAAGATGGCGGCGTAGGGAGTGGACCTGTGCGTGCTGCTCTCTCACAGCATCATTGAAACTACCAACTATGAGGCAAACAACCACCACTCAGAACCATGGGGAAGTTGGCCCAGTGGGAGATCTACAACTGGAAGAAAAGAAAGAAGCGCAGTGAGACTGAGAGGGAGCTACGGAAGCGCCAAAAACAGAGGTACGCAGTCACACGCCAGGCGGGCTGCAAATGGATTCGCGGT